ATATAAAGATATAAGTTATGAGGGCTTGTTTTATTATAAGCATTAGGTAGGAAGGTAGGAAAGTGATTGGAAAGTATAGTTGAAAATTATTATATAAAAATTGATAAATTTTGCAATAAAATTTTGTTAAAATTTTATTAAATTGTTAATTTTTATATGTTTAGTAAGAGGTTGATATTAAAAGAGTTTAGAAAAAATTGTTAAATAAGGTTTTGTTTAACAATATTTTTTCGTAATTTATCTTTTAATTTTTATTTTATTTTATTATTTTAAAAATATATAAAATATTAATTAAAATAAATATTAAATATGTAAAATATATTTTATATATTTAAAAGGTTAAATCCCCAATTTGGTCCCTAAACTATTGTACAGACCAGTAATTTGGTCATTGAACTAAAACAATCCCTGATTTAATCCCTAAATTATTGTATAGACCCCAATTTGGTCCATACTATTTACCAATTTACCCCAATTTGGTCCATACTATTTACCAATTTACCCCAAGTTGGTCATTTTATACAAAAACCAATTGACATATTTTGTTATTAATGTGACACATAACTATTAAATTACTGTTTTTCATCGTTAAGTTATTATTTTTTCGCAGTTAAGTTATTATTTTTTTGCCGTTAAATAACGAATATATCAGCTTTTTTTTTTACAAATGACTAACTTGAGGCAAATTGATAAAAAGTAAGGACCAAATTGGAGTTCGTACAATACTTCAGGGACCAAATTGAGGATTTAACCTATTTAAAATATTGAAAATATTGAAAGACCAAAAACCTTATAACTATAGGTAATGTTATCAAATTAAACCTAACTCCTATAATGAGAAAGTTGAAGAAAAAGTTTGTTCTTTAAAAAAAATGTGAAAAAAATATTGCTTACTAAGATTGATATAAGGTAAAATAAAAAGAAAAAATACTAATTTTATTTATTATTTATTATAATAAATTATAATAATGAGGTGAAATAATTCTAAAACGTACCTTTCTTAGCTAAGGAAAAAAAATTATTATTATTATTATTTCCATGCCAAGCTCCCTGAGTGTAAGGTGTGATTAGAAAATTGGTTAAATGTTAAATTTAGTTCTTTAACGTCAGAGTTTTTCATAATTTTTATCATTCAACTTTTTCATGCTTTTTTTTTTTATCATTTGACTATGAAAAATGTATTTTTTTAGTCATTTCATCAATTAATCTATTAAATTTATCTAAATATACACATTTTTAATCCCTTGACTTTAAGTTGAATGACAAAAAATATGTATATATTAGAAGTTAAAGGACTGAAAATATGCAGATTCAGATAGATTTAATAGATTAACTGATAAAATGATTAAAAAAATGCATTTTTCATAGTTAAGAAGCAAAAAAGTGTATAAAAAACTTAAGGAATGAAAATTATATAAAAGTTTAAAGTTGAGGGACCAAAATTGATATTTAAACTTAAAAAATCCTTGTGTAATGTAGATGTAACAATATCAATATGCCTCCCTCTTTTTTATTTATTTTTTTTAATGTCACTGAAAAATAATGAGCTTGTAAAAAATAAGACATTTAATCATAATCACAAGATAAATAAAATATACAAATATATTAATTTTAATTTTCAAAATAAATTAGAGTTTTAATTTTAAATTATATTGTTTTATTTAATTAAAAAAATGATGTGTGCACACCCGGATCCAATCATGGTCCTTAAT